CAAATTAAGAGCCCAATCAACTTCAATATATATAAAAGCGTTATGATTAGGAAACTAAACGTTATTGATACGTAATGAAACCATCTTTCTGCTGAATTTCAATGATTGAAGCAGTGACATCAACTGCAGCTGGTATACATCCTCTCATCCGCCATGTTGATATCTAAAACCCAGAAACTGAGAATTAGAAAGGAGGCAATATGTTCTATGCTTGCTTGAGACAATAACAGAAACAAGAAGGAAGAATGAAAATTAATCAACTGAAACATGAGATAGATACACAAAAAAAGAAGCCTCTAAATTAAACTAATATCACCTGACTCCTTATTTTGTCAAATAAAAAACAGTTTAGTCCCTAGACATAGACCTTAACAAAAATATCATCTAATATTAATGAAAGATAAATACTTTAATCCACTTATTTTTTACAGAAAACAAGAAAATTAATCTTATTCAAACAATCTAGGGGTATTTGTTAAGTTGTGTAAGTAGCCTTAAATATTTCTGTTTGATGCCAAAATATTTTGGAAAAGAGTAATTTTCTCTCAATTTTAATTTATCATCTAGAGCCATATAACTAATATCTCTTCTAACTTTTTCTCAGTTGATGTATAACTTTTAAATTTTTAAATAGCAGAGGTTGTGATTAATGCTAGAGCTGTGACTAAGGCTCAATAAAATGTAAGAAAATTTTAGAGTACAAATGGTGCTTTTCTTGCTTATTGGCATTAAATTTATAATATCAATTGATTTCTTTTTCTTTTTTTTTGGGGGGGGGTTAAAAAAAGAGGACTAAGCATCTTTTATATTCAGTTTAGAAGATTTTTTGTTAACCTCTCCAAAATCCAATTACACTGGGACTAAACTGTTTAATTCAACAAATTGTGGACTATTTGTTTATACCTTAAAAGATATGTTTGTTATTATCCCCTGAGGCATTGCACCTAAGCTTTTCACTCTCTGACTTGAATCTAAGTATAGAATGAATTTAATGACAACATATGTCCATCACCTGTTTTAGAGCCAAGAAAATAGATAGTACCAATCAGTAAGGTAAAAAAAATCTTACTCTTTTAAGTGCAGAGGCAACTTTGTCAGCAGATGAAGAGAATAGAGATTCTCTGACAAATTCCCATTCATCCCAGCTCATCCAAGGCACCAATTTGAAGTTGTCAGACGATGATGGTCGCTCATGATCACCTTTGGCTACAGCATCTTCTCCAAACCCTAATAGTGCCTCCATTGAGTAACTCTGCTGGCAGGTTAGACAAAGCAAATAGCAAAAGCTTAGTTCTTGTCACAAAGGTGAGACTGGGGCTCCCCAAAAAATAAACTCACTGAAAATTCTGGAGTCATTTTTAATCCATTAAGAGCAGGTTTAGATACCAAAAATAGAATTTGTTGATTAATGAAAGTTTGGGTCCAAAACTTATGGAACCAGAAGGTACAAGCATCAATCCTTTGGTGTAGACTAAGTAGACTAAGGTCTAAATTGCATGCATTTATTTGTCTTCTAATTAAAGTTAACTAAAGTGCAAGTGTTATATGTGACATCCATCATCAAATATAATCACTAAATAAAATTAGTAAACAATTACAAAATGAAGGAAGGTTGGGGAAAAGCAAACACAGAGAACAGATAATATGAACATTAACATATAGTAAAATGAAAGATGATCTCCACATTCTGCTTTCTCCTTCATTGCATTTCCTCTTCGATCAATGATGGATCCCATGAATCATTCCACAACATAAATTGTTCAAACACCACATCCATCCATGTGAACTACCAAAACGAATTAATAACTAAGTCAAAAATCAAGCGAATGAAGTCAATATTTGGTCTAAACATTTCTCTCTCCTGATTGAGCATCTTGACAAGAACAGAGCCATAAGTAATAGACATGACTCAGCTTTACTACTCCTACACACTCACACATGCATTCCCTAAAACATGCACTCCCTAAAAGTCCAATAAATTAAAAATTACAAGACCATGAAGAATGGGGGCATGAATACATCCAAAAATGTAAAAATATGTCAAAATAAAAATGAAAGTTAAAATAAACCAAAATTGACAAGGTCCAGTGCCTTTTCCTTGTGCAATGCTCCATTTGATGATTCCTTCTCATTCTCTTATTGGTGAGGGCCCTTTAATTTAAATTCCCTTTTCCCTTTTAGCATTTATCCCACAGAATTTGGGTTCCCTTTTTCATTTGTTTTTTGGTTTTCTTTTAGATACACAACCATGAACCACGAGAGACGATATGTTCTAACAAAGCATAATTAACCAAAAGTAGTAAACAAAAAACAAGAAGGTGTGCAATCATAGTACAAGTGTAGAATGAACATACTAAGTGCGCAAACAATCAAAACTCAACTATATACATAGATAAAACCAGAGTATTAATAAACAAAATGAATAGTAAAATAAACAAATTATCAACATGCTAAACAGTAAGAACAAGAGAAAACAGCGACATCATCACATTTAACTATAATCTTTCCTTAGGTCACCAAGACATTAAACCAGATCAACAAAGAAAGAACAATGGTATCTGCTAATCTACATCTATCCAAACTAGTAGCAGCACAGGCAAAAATACTTTGCTAAAGCAATTAACCGAATGACTTGTAAGCATGCAGACAGCAGGTTAGGAGCATCAATCCTACTCTTGAAAACTTGGATTTCAATCCATATTAAAATATAGCTCGCTTACATCGAAACTAAGTTATTCTTTCCAACTAGCCATGGCTTTTCATCAAACAAGAATGGGGACCAAGACAAATGCATACAGAAATTGAATGGAAAACAAATCAAAGAAAAATGTTACTAACCAGCTCATTCTAATCATCAACACATAACAATAAGATTATCAGCAAGAACAGTGCATGATCAAATATCCCAAAACGATCATCACATTGTGGTTTATCCTAACACAAAGCAAATTATGAATCAAGTAGGAAGTCAGAAGACTCTACAAAGCAGAATACCCCATTTACCTTCCAAAAACCGAAATTGCTTCCCTGTCTTTCCTCTTCTTCTCTCCTGTTTTCTTCTTCTCTGTCTCTTCTTTGCTTATCCTATTAGAGAACCAACAATCCCCTCCCTATTGGCTCTCACTCTTACTAAGTTGTGAAACCCGGAAAATCTCTCCCCCTACTCTCTAATCTTCCTTTCCGCTTAAACCTCAAAACCCAGATTTCAGTAGCCGATATGCCTCTTACTTCCTCTCTGTTTCTCTTGTCACTCTCTGTTGAAAGCTTCCACCAAAAACTCTAAAAAACGAAACCTTTTCGCACTCCCTCTGCTTCCCTCTCTTTCGGCTCACTCTCTGTTGGCGGCGCCTCCCATCAGAATGTTGTTTCTCTGCGTCGCCTGCTTTCTCTGATTTTTTTTCCGTCCACAGGTATCCCCTTTTCTTCCTCCTATTCACGCAAGCTAAACTCTTCTCTGTCTCTCTGTCTCTCTCTCTCTCTCTCCTGCTACTCTGCCGTCCTTGTTCTTCGTCTCCTCTGCTCCACCGTCTCGCTGCCTCCGCACGTCTCTCCCGCTTTGTTGTACAAGTTGACCAGAGGTACGGAAGTTTAAAACGGTGCGTTTAGAATTCAGAAGATGATGGGGTTGGGTTGGAGCTCGAGTGGGTCGAAATGGGCTTATGATTTTGAGGCCCAATAGGATTAAAGGCCCAATTGCATATTCCCAATAAATACCTTTCATGATTAAATTATTAAAATTAATTATTGCTATAATGGAACATTAGTTGAGCGATGTGTTGGTGAAGGTAGCCATGTTCGTAATAGTGCAAGCTCTCGTATATCTCATTCTCTCAATATCAACCAACATATTTTCTTCCACATCATCATCAACATCTTCGTATTCTGCCAATGCTCGTTGAATTCTCGCTCTTCTCCAAGTTATGTCTGCTGTTGACGAGTTTGAGTTGTCTTCTTCTTCTTCTTCTTCGGAAAAAGAAAATGCCTCACCACCATCACTTTCTTCTTCCTCGATGACACACCTTCATCAATCATGATCACACATATGAGCTAAATAATATATTATTATTATATATAAAGGTTATATATATGTAAAAAAAGTACATATCTAATTTTTTTATATATTCGGATATATTCATCGAGAATGATAATATATATATATTTAATATAGTTTTTAGATGATTAAGTATTTAATTTTTCGTTTAATATTACAGTAGCTAAATTACAACTAGCATGTAACGACCTCAAAAATCTAAAAAAAATATATATATAATAATTTAATTGCAGAAACGAAATAAAATGTTAAAATTTACATCCCTTACACAATAATTTAACAATACTAAATAATATTAGGGAATGAATACTCTGAAAGAAACACGAGAAATAAGAAAAGTAATGAAAAATATAAAGTATCTAGCATCTACTCGCAATTTTCTTGCGAATCGGGCTTTGGAACCAGATCCTCTTGATCTGAAATGGTTAAATAAAGGATGAGCTACACTAGCCCAGTAAGGATATCGCACTATATCACCGGCACAGAAGCAAAAGTTAGTATAAAATCAAAACAACTAATGGAGCATTAAATTTAGCAAATTCGTTTATTAATTATAAAATCATTTACCGTTCACTTACTCTAGTGGAATTTATGAAAATAATCTATAGAAACAATAATACCATACAGATCATAACTTCATGAACAATCAGTAACATAGAACATATCATAAATTCATATCCATTAATAATAAATCAAATCATAACCGTTTCTTATTTCACCATCCTACTAGTATCCATGGGGGTTCATAGTGAGTGTCTCTGCTACACGTGAACCATTTTCCTTGATAATCTCAATTACAGGGCCGTCTCCATATCTCCTCCGGTATGAGAGTCAAGACATTAAATTTCAATACCCCGTCTGGTATGAGGGTGAAGCGGGCCGTCCCCATACCCTGTCCGGTATGAGCGCCAAATTACCAAGTCTCCATTCCCCATCCGGTATGAGACAACATTCACAGTAAGGTTCCCTATGTACCCGGTCCGTCCCATCTTCCAGGATATTTAGTAAGGCTGTCATTCTATCTGTTTATTTGATCACACCCATTTCCTGTTTTCCTTTAGTCTCTATTACCAAATCAAACATAATTACATAAACAAATAAACATGCATCCGATAATGTAATCATGTCTCAAATTCTAAATCAAATAGTAGTCATGTAAGATAGTAATACATATATTTAAACCATCAAATAGATTAAATCAGATACTATCATGCTTTTAGACTGTAAAATAAATCAACATAAAAAAATATCCAGTTCGGACTCCATTAGCAATCTGTAATTAGTTATGAATATATATTTAATTTGTACAAAATATTATATTATTATTTATTTAAACTTCAATTCTATGATAGGGAATAGAGTGAGGGGTCCTTACTCGATTTGATGTTGAAAAGCTAAACAGTTTACTGCGTATACGGTCGGTCCTTAGGTTTCCTGAATTTTTTTCCAGGAACTGAAACGCGCTTATAATACTTACAAATATTCCAAATAAACCCAAAATTAGTCTCAGGGCTCACTCGACCAATTTCAAAAATCCAGCAAGGCAGCAGTCCGATTCGGGTTGGCTATTTTCGGCCGAATTCAGCTGATTTTACATCAATTCTTGCGAACACACACGCTAAAGGGCCTCGGTGGGCCGAAAAAATACGGCAAACCAAAACTCACCAGCGGCAGGGCTCTCCAGTGTGGTGGCTTTTCCGGCTCACGTTGCGGTTGGGTGTTTCACTTCGGTCAACCTGTAGAGAAGAAAACGGTGATCACAACGATAAAAAAATTACGCGAAACGGGAATCGGGAAGAGCCTTATCGGAGGAGGTTTGTGAAATT